GATGGATGGATGGATGGATGGATGGATGGATGGATGGATGGATGGATGGATGGATGGATGGATGGATGGATGGATGGATGGATGGATGGGTGGTATTTAGGTAGGTAGGTAGGTCTTGCTTATTTTAAAAATAAGATCCTTAAATAATGAAATAGCATCTGATCCAAAAATGCAGACACTAACTCATGCAGACTGATGAGTTTTAGTAATTAGTAAAGTTACTTACAAATAAAATAACAGAATATTTACATCAAACTACCTGAATATTAACAGTTTGTGGAGTTAGTTGATGCTGATAACTTGATAAACTTATATACTTAATTGATTCAAAGACATTGTTGTTGCTTTGCAGTAATCCTCACATAGTGTTAAATGTCGACCTGGCACCAACTATGCTGGATATGGCCGGTGTTGACATTCCTGCAGAGATGGATGGCAAGTCCATCCTCAAGCTGCTGGCCACCGAACGACCCATGAACAGGTGAACACACAGATTTTGTTTTCAGTATCTTCTGAAGAAGTTGACATTTTAAAATGTGTCAAAAAGTGGTTTGCCTGAACCTTTAGACAGTCTTCGGGTGTTCCTGTACGTATTAAGTAAGTAAGTAAGTAAGAAACTTTATTTCTATAGCACCTTTCATAGACACAAACATCACAAAGTGCTTCACAGGAAGCAAAAATAACTAAAAACAATAAAACAGATCACAAATATAAAAACAACAATTAAAACACAATAAAAAGCACTTAACTTAAAGCCTGTCTGAATAAAAATGTCTTAAGATGTTTCTTAAAAGATTCAGAAGAATCTATTGAAATAAATTACACCATTCTCCTTTCAAAGAGCGTGTCATTTTCAAATGATGTTTGTGTTTGCTCAGTGCAAATATCAGTGTGGTTTGTACTTGTTTTCCAGGTTCCAGCTGAATAAGAAAAGTAAAACATGGAGAGATTCTTTCCTGGTGGAGAGAGGGTACGTTTTATTGATTGACCTTTCACAAGACGTGTTCTCATTCCTGTCATCTGGCCAGATCGGACTGCTTGTCAATGTTCTTTCTGTTCTTTCAGGAAGCCTCCACACAAGAGGACTGATGGGAAGGAAATGGCCCAGGAGGARAACTTCCTGCCAAAATACCAGAGGGTGAAGGACTTGTGCCAGAAAGACGAGTACCAGACCTCCTGCCAGCAGCCAGGACAGGTACTTGACCTGTACGAGCTCAGTGAAAAAGATGTGTTTTCRAAGGAAAGAGGTTTGGATGTGGTCACAGCGGGATGTTAATTTGCAAAACGTTTTAACATTTACTGTTGTGCTTCTTTTTGTCATAATTTTATTTCCAAATGAAGAGCACTAAAGTGTCTGTGTGTGTTAATTATGACAGGGGTTAATGCTTTGTTTCAGAAGTGGCAGTGTGTGGAGGACCCAACTGGCAARCTGAGGCTGTATAAGTGTAAGGGCATGGCTGGTCTTTTTGCTCCACGGATGCAGGTTCTGATGGCCAGCAGTGCCTCCACGCTGTCTCTCCCATCCAACTCTGACAGCTGTAACTGTGACGAAACGAGCATCACAACACCTGACCCGAAGAAGAAGAGGCTGCTGAACAAAAAGAGTGAGTCTTTGTTGTCAGGCACATGTTCTGTTATGTTATTGTTATTAATAGATTCTCATTGTGTTTAAAAAGATGTGCCCTTGACTACAAAGCTGAACATGAACCTCAATCTAAAATAAAAAGCTACTGAAGTATTATTGAGAGAAAAGCTGAGTCAATGCTGCCACCTAGTGGTACATTAGAGCATTAAACTCATTAATCTCATTCATTAAAATTCTTTTGTCAGTGTGAATTAATAAATGCAAAAGTCTGCAGATTATTAATTTAACTGTAATCYAATTATTAAAATCCCTATTCTTGTGTCATTCAGATTCACTTGTATCGTCTTACGCAGAGCTTAAATCCAATAAGCCCGTGTCCAGGAGGCGCTGGGCCCGTTCTGTCTCATTCGAGCTGGATGGAGACCTGTACGCTGTCGAYCTGGAGCAGGGGTACCGACCCCTGGGATCCAGGAACAGCAGCTGGAGCGAAGACAGKAGGAGAGGAGCAGGAAATGATGAAGATGGAGAAGAATTCAGTGGGATGGAAGTTACAGCCAAACCCACCACACACTACAAACTACCACCACCTGAAGCTTTGAAAGTTACTTACAGGTGTGTGTGTTGGAGGTGGGGTGTTTTTGATGACATTTGGGGGCAATTTAAAGACAAAAATCCTACATTTGGAGACAACTGGTGCATTTGGGGACAAAAGTTGAGTCCCCATTTGGTTTAAATGCCATGATGGGTTGGGGGTTGGGTTTAGGACCAAGGTGTGAATTGAGTTTAGGTTAGTTTTAGTGTCAGGTAGTACCTGTGAGGTTAGCCTTAGGGTTTGTGGTCAGGGTTAGGCTGTAGGAATGTAATGGAAGTCAATGGAATGTCCCCAAACATATAGCTGCGCAAACGTGTGTGTGTGTGTGTGTGTGTGTGTGTGTGTGTGTGTGTGTGTGTGTGTGTGTGTG